TCTGACAAAATGGTGGATGGATAAAAAAGCATTATTATCTGGGAAGCCTGAACTGTGTATTTGGGAAGCCTGAACTGTGATGCCTATTGCCACGAGGATCTCTGTGTATGTGTTTATGTGTGTACATGTGTGTTACAGAATGTTTCTGACATGCCTATTGTCCCCAGAATAGGGAAACAAGAGAATCAAGACTCTCTTTATAGACGGACTTACTCAGGATATAAGTCTTCCTATGTCATTCTTTATTCTTTCACATTTATTATCTTTTATGATGTGTAGATGTGGCAAAGATTATTCCCACTTTACAGATGAAGGAGCATTTATTTGAAAGGATGCAGAATAAAAACAGATATAATTCATATGCTAAAAGACACTTCATAGAAAATGACACAATTATTTCTCCAAAATGCCCTACATTATATGATTTCTTATCTTCATTGCGTTGCTGATTAAACAGTTTAAGTGATTTATCCAGTTCCTCTCAGGAAGTGGCAGAATAGAAAGCTGTGATGGTTAATTTTATGCGTCAGCTTGACTGAGCCATGGGGTGCCCAACATTTAGTCAAACATTATTCTGTTGTATCTGTGAGGATCCTTCTGGATGAAAACAACATTTGAATTGTTAGACTGAATAAAGCAGATTGCTTTCCCCAATGGATATAAGCTCATCCTATCTGTTAAAGGTCTGAATAGAAAAAAAAAATGTTGACTATCTTAGTCCATTCTGCGTTGCTGTAAAGAAATATGTGAGACTGGGTAATTTATAGGGAAAAGAGGATTATTTGGCTCACAGTTCTGCAGGCTGTGCAAGATGCATGGCACAAGCATCTGCTTCTGGAAAGGGACCTCAGGAAGCTTCCAATCATGGCACTTGGGGAAAGGGAGAAGGGGAAGCTATGCCACGTGGCAAGAGAGGTAGAAAGAGGGAGAGAAGAAGAAGTTGCCAGGCTCTTTTTAACCATCACTTATCATGGGAACTAATAGAGTGAAGACTCAGCACAAAGTCATGCATGAAGGTGATGAAACGGTTTCCACTAGGCCCCACCGCCAATGCTAGGGATCAAAATTCAACATGAGATTTGAAGAGGACAAATATCCAAACTATATCACCCTCCCATAAGGAAGAAGGCCCCTCCTGATCCCAGTGTGTTTTAGTTTAAGCTACTAGGGAAGGTGAGGCAGGAAGATTACTTGTTGAGCCTAAGGGTTCAAGTCCTGCCTGGGCAACATAGCAAGATCCCACCTCTAAAAAAATGGACCCCTCCTGTCAGAGTACACCAGATATTTTCTGTCTTCTAACTTGAACTGAAACATCCACATATTTTATGTCTCAAATTTACAAATCTTGGGACTTTTTAGCCTCCATATCACACAAGCCAATTTCTTATAATAATAATGATGAAGATACAATATATAGGGTATATATTGTTTCTGTTTCACTCAAGAGCCCTAATATAGAAGACAAGCAGCATCCTCTCCAATGTCACAATCAGTGCTTTTTCTATGACATGCATGCTCCTCTCCGAATGAAAACCTGGCTCACATTTTATGCTAATACTAAGGAGGAAAAAACAATCCATTACTTATTGTACACCATAAAGCATGTTTTCACATGCACCATCTCAATTGTTGTGAAGTTTTTATTATTTTTAGAACGGTTTTTTTATTCACATCTTCACTCACCAAAATGTTAAAGAAATAGAAGCATCACTGTACTGGTTGAAGCGGAGGGATCGCAGGCGAGGCACTGTGCACTCTTAAACCCCTTCTGCAATTCCAGAGCCTCACAGAACATACCTTGAAGAAACGGTAAACATTTCAACTGGTCTTTCACACTTCTGAGGATATGAATGACAGGGATTATTTTCTCTACTTGATATAGGAAGAAAACTCTGTGGGTTTAAGCGAATCTATCATGGTAAAGCATGTTTCCAGCAAAGCCTAAATAGCAGTGTCCTGATCTGGGGTACTAGAATTCTCGCTTCATCATTTCCTTAATGATTATTTCTAAAGAAGTTGGTTCTGTCCAGTTACCATGCTCATGCAAGTCACTTCTGAGCATCCCCAAACTGTTTAACATCTCAGATAGCCTAATTAATCCATATCAATTCTATTGACTCTATCTATCTGAGATACAAACAATAAAGAAGGAGTTTATGTTTCATATTGATAGCAAGATCATTATGTGAAAGCTAATGGAGTCTAATGGTTAAAAGAATTTTAGCTGTATGAGTTAGGCAACTTTCTTTCCCTCCCCTGCTTAGATTACTTCTCTGAAAATGAGGATGATTATGCTATCTCATGGATTTTCTGTGACAATTGAAGGAACATACATGATAGTACCTGCACTGTGATTAGAGATAATTATATTAGCTATCAGTAGACATGTAAATTCTTCATAAGGTAAATATTATTTGAATTTTCAGATCATAAATTGGATATATTGAAAACATAGTTAGAAAATCAATGGCAGGTTGCCTCAGTGAAGAGCAGCATGTTTTGTATAATACAGCAAAATAGAATTTCAATTTATTTTCAATAAGACCGAGTTCTACTAGCACACTGAAGTAATGAATGCCAAATTATCTCATTCAGACAAAAGTGAAATGTCCCAAGCTTAATAAAATAAGATAATTGGTTTTGGCTTTTATATTAAATTTCTATTTGGCTACACACTGTAGTTTCAGAGCAGATGCCCTGCAGGTGAATGGAGCTATAGATGAGGTTACACATAAACCATATGTCCCCTTTATAAGTCCCCTTGTACTGTCTGTGGTTCACTGCTTTCCAGAACATAATGAAGACCAAGTGCTTATAGTACAAAAAGCGGGTCAATCAGAAAGCATAGAAACAAGAATGGGGTCTCCTCGTGGTCCAGGTAATGCTTCACCTCCTTATGTAGTGGCATGCAGTATAAAGCAGGAAGAAACATCTGTCTGACTCTAGTGGGATTCTTGGCCTCATAACCTGCAGATTCTCATGTCAGATTCTGAAGATTGATAGGTCACTGGCAGGCTCCATGTGCTTTATGTGCTTTTCCAAAAAAAAAAAAAAAAAAATGCACTAACAAAAGAGGATCCCCGTTGAGTTTTTAGTTAACTCATTAACTAGTTTAAGCACCTAGGCTTACCCCCTGTAGATAATTGGTGTGTTCTCTGTACTGGGTCATATCTCACACAGTTAGAAAATATCCTTTTTTTACCTGAGTATTAGAGGTACTTCTAACCAGGCTCTCAAATAACAGATATTATGCTCAAATGAAAACGAATCTATAAATCCAAATGTCTAAGTTTTAATTCTTCTGCCATTAAACCCTGTGAGTCCCTATTATTAAGTTATCTAGCTATTCCAGGTCTTAGTAAACTCACCATGAAGCTGAAACCATTGAAATCCCCATTTAAACAAATGAGAAAACCGAAGTTCAAAGAGTTGAGATATTTCGTGGAAGATCACACAGCCTGTAAGCCACAGGGTCAAGTTTAAACCAGATGTGTTAGCACCACTGCCCACATTCTTGGACCTGCCCTTACATCTCCTACTGTATTGAATGCTTATCAAAATCATTCTGAACAAGTATCAAGGTAAATTGCTGGTTTTCACAGAACACAGTCTCCTCTTACATTAACTCTGTCGTCTCAAGCCAATCATTCCAAATTTTCTGAGCCTCTGTTTCCTTATCTGTAAAATATAAATGAGATGATAACAGTATTTAAGTCATAGTTTATTTTAAGGACTATATGGATTATTACTTTTAAAGTGCTTAGAACAGTACCTCAATAAACATTGGCTATAATTATTATTATTTATTAATTCCTGAGGCTACCTAGTGACTTAAAGCAACAATTAGTATGGAGCCAGTATCAGTTGACAGACACAAGTGTCATTCACATTCAAGCAAACAGTTTAATAAAGGTAATTTTATCACAACTAAATGCTAAATTAAAAACTGCTGTTTATGGTACGAGCAAAAGACAGTTGAGTTGTGGGTGTGGCATAATCTCTCAATGTTGGAAAGGCATTAGAATCACCTAGGAGCTTTAAAAAATGTCTGTACCCAAGTCCCATTTGAGACCAATTAAAATAGAATCTCTTGGTTTGGAATCTGCGTATTCTTACATTTTTAAATCACTCCCACACCAGTCGATTTGGAGTTAGGAAGGGACCAGTTTATGAAGGAATTTGAATTCCAGGAAGAATTAGTATTTGGGTAGGGGAGTGGGGCTAGAAAATATTAGTCAGAGATTCTGCACAGGGCTACTATACACTTATTTATAAATATTTTCACCTTTCAGCGATGGCTTCTGCTGTCATCCTTTGGCTCACAATAAAGAAGCTTTTAGTTTCCTCTATTTCTTAAAGTTGATCTAAACACACTCCCTCTGACTTGGTTGTTCCATAATCAAATTATCATCTCACTGGAAGCCATCCTAATCCTATTTAAAGAAAGACCATTTTCCTCCTGACCTGAAGTCTCACTTTTTATCTTGCTGGCTGGGTATTCAAGAAGTGCATTCAAACTGTTGAAAATCCTGGGAGTTAAGATCACCCTGACATTGTCAGGTAAAAATAAAAAGGAGAAGAAACCGGAATGTAATTTGCTTATCCTCAATACAGCTTTATTTCTTCCAGTTTTAAGCATGACTTTACATTTCTTTTTGTGGTAGTAAGGACCAGGACTGTGTGGGAGCTCAGAGATGGAGAATGACAACTCTCTAGTTATTGAGCCATAACACATCCTCTCCCTGAGCAATAACTCCTAAAAATAATCACCTTTTGGCTGATTTAAACATTTTTTTTTGCAAGAGAGTTACCCACGTCCAACCTGGCGAGTGAATTGCCCAGTAGACCAGGATTGTTAATCAATCGGAAAACCATTTTAAGATCCAAGTGTTTACAACCCATTAAAGTCTGCTCTATGTATGTAGTCTTTGTCACTCCCCAACTGCTAAGTTGTATTAGTTTTAAGTTGTTTACTTAACTCGGGCCTTTGTTTTTATCAGGAATGATATAAAAAGAAAGGAAGATGAGATGAAGAGAACAGTGCCTACCCTCAAAGAGATCCTAATCCATTCGTGCATGTTTGGGAGGAAGACAAAGAAAGAAACTTCCAAATGTATTACTGTATGGTAAGTGCCAGTAGTGGAGAGGGTAGAACACATTGGAACAGCCCCTACCTGACCCTAGGTCAATAAAGAAAGACTTACTCAGAGAGGTGGCCTAAGTTGAGTCTTGTAGGGCTTCTCTATGAGAAAAGGGAAAAACACAGCCTGTGGAAAGGCCAGGAGAGTCAAGAAAACAAGGCTTTTCCACAGAGGTGCAATGTCAAGGGGTGCTATCAGTGAGTCAGAGAAGAGATCGGCAAATATAACATCACGAGCATTAAATGTGAGAGGCAAGAGTTCATCCTTTATTCTGATGGTGGCTTGAAAATAATTTTGGCTTTTAAGTAAGAGAGCAACATAGTTTGGTTATTATTTTAGGTGGGAAAGAAGGTACTTCTGAATGCTACATTTAAAATCACATGGGGATGTCAGAGGAAAATGTCAGGTTATTGAAGGAATTCACATTTTATTATATAAGGAACAGATTATAGAACTGGTGCAGATTTTAATCTGGGGGAATAAGACCAATGTAGGATACCTGATGCCATGTGAAAGAGGAAGAAACATTGTTATTCGAAATTTTTGGAAACCGAAAGACCTATCAATTATTGGTGCTGTATTTCAGTTCAACATAACTATATTGCCTCTGGATGTTCAGAGTTGTTTCAAGATGGGATGTTTTGCCTTTTGCATCTGATTGACCTCTGGTTGATGCCGTAAGTGCACATATCCAGTGGATACTGGGTTGGGTCTACTTAAGTTCTTTGCAAAGATTATATGCCCATGTGGATAGCTTTGGTCACCATATGCAGCCACTAGAAAGACGAAACAAACTAGTTAAAGGTCACTAGGGAAGCAAGCTTCCTCAAGGGCTGAGATGGAAGTTCAGATAATGAGAACTCTTTGTACTCGTTGTAGACACATTCTTTCAATTAGAAGCAAATAACAAAGTTAAGGTCCTTAAAAATCTGTGGCCTTCACCTTATATGCAAAAGGATATGATTCAAAGAGTTCTTGATTGGATCCTACCAGCAAGGGATCTTATATCACTTTTTTTGCATAAGCTATCATGATTCATAGGGCACAGGCTCATCTTTACAATTATATTACTGAACATCTTCTGTTTTTTAATTTCCTGAAACATGGAGGTAAAATATAGCTCATAAAATGCTACATGTTAATAAAAAGGATATTTTGAACTGGAACAAAACATAGAATAGTTATGTGTGATTCATATATACAAATAGTTACATGTAAAATATGTTATCACATAGAATATGACTTTAACATATTATCCTTCACACTATAATATTGTAGAGATGATAGTCTATGAGTAATGAAAATATTCATGGGGGCTCTTAGAAAAATAAGAGAAAGGAAGGTTTGTAAATATCTGTTCTTTCAGTTTAACATGCATTTCAGTGACAAATATGAACCAGTTTTCTGGTCCAGTTGAACTGAGATCTAGAACCATTTTACTTGACATTTCATTTGAAATTTTGAATTAATTTGCCTTTGCAACCATGGAAGCAGAATAAAATTACTTGTTGTTGATTATCAATCTTAGAGCACTGTACCTGGAATCGGTTAGGTTGAACCATACAAAGTTACTGATATTTAAACATTTTAACCTAAGAATTGGCAATTTCTATGGTCTACCCCTAAGGGAAACCTTTGTTTCAGTCTTTGTTGTAACACAGAGACTTGAAAATTAAATAAGTTATTCAACTTTTTAGAACCTAAATTTTTCTCTTTCTGTTAAATGTGGACAATAGCAGCAATCTTTCAGAGGTATGTGCATTAAATGAGACACTGGGTGGGAAAACATATTGAAAACTGTAAAGTAATTTGAATTGCATTTAGAATCTTCAAAAACCCCAGTGAGATTGTTGGGTTTATAATCTTTCACTCCCTGCTGGTTAAGTGATTGCTTGGTTAGAATACACAGGGGTTTATGTGTTTATATTTCTTCCTGAATATGATCTGACTTTCTCCCTATTTAGTGTTTATTCTGAAAGCTATTTTCTTCCATCCTTGGATTTACAGTACAGATTTCTTCTGAATGGGTAGAATATTTATACATTTCATTAACAATATGTACTCAGACTTTCTGGTTCGTTCATCCAGTGAAATGCTCAGCAGAAAATGTGCTTCAGGATTTTCCCCTACCAATGGGGAGTTGAAATTAATTCTATTATAATTTCCAGGAGCTTTAAGCATTTGTTTTGTTTAGGAGTAAAACAACTGTGCTGGCAAAGCTTTTCTTATTGTTAATGTGCTTTGGCCATTTATATCTGGATGATACATTTTACAAGCATTGATCAGATAGTACTTTCAACAACTGTTTTATGGACTATGGTTCCAACCTTCAGTGAGGTCTTTTCAACCTTCAGTTTCTCTCCCCTTCAAATCTATTGTCCAACTTACCAGCTGCGTTTTACTTCTAATCACAAATGGGATCGTAATATCCCTTATTTTAAAAGAATCTTGCGTGACTCCCCTGTGTGTAAAGGATAAAATTCTCAATACATGGTTTAGTGTACAAGGACTTCTTAAAATATTACTTAACAACAATTTGTCTGTAGCTTTTACTCTCCCTTCTTCTGAATCCAATTTACTGGACTCGTCACCATTCTCTAAATATTCTATGATAATGTTATTTTCTCTCTGCCTGTTCACAACCTGGTCCTCTACCTGGAGTGACTCTGTCTTCTTTGACTAGTAAAATCATCCTTATGCTATATCCTTATAGCCGTCCAACTGCTCAAATTCCATCTCTCTATGAAGTCCTTTGCTCCTCTCCAAGGCAATTCATCATTTATTCCCCTTAGAACTGTGCATAATCTTTTTATGGTGATAATCGTTTTACTTACCTGTTTCTCTTTCTCCAGTCTGTGACCTCTTATAAAGCAAGGACTCTTACTTACTCACGTTTGCTTCCCTAAGGCCTAGATGCTCAGCGAACATTTTTTAAAGGATAAATGAATCCTGCTAGTACTGCCTAAATAACACACAATGAAAATTCATAATTACTCAGTGAGCGTCCAAATGTCTGAAGCTCTCAGAGAAGAAAATTACTGAAGACTTTCCGCGCTACCTACAGAGGGGTCCATACGGCGTTGTTCTGGATTCCCGTCGTAACTTAAAGGGAAACTTTCACAATGTCCGGAGCCATTGATGTCCTGCAAATGAAGGAGGAGGATGTCCTTAAGTTCCTTGCAGCAGGAACCCACTTAGGTGGCACCAATCTTGACTTCCAGATGGAGCAGTACATCTATAAAAGGAAAAGTGATGGCATCTACATCATAAATCTGAAGAGGACCTGGGAGAAGCTTCTGCTGGCGGCTCGTGCCATTGTTGCCATTGAAAACCCTGCTGATGTCAGTGTTATATCCTCCAGGAATACTGGCCAGAGGGCCGTGCTGAAGTTTGCTGCTGCCACTGGAGCCACTCCAATTGCTGGCCGCTTCACTCCTGGAACCTTCACTAACCAGATCCAGGCAGCCTTCCGGGAGCCACGGCTTCTTGTGGTTACTGACCCCAGGGCTGACCACCAGCCTCTCACGGAGGCATCTTATGTTAACCTACCTACCATTGCTCTGTGTAACACAGATTCTCCTCTGCGCTATGTGGACATTGCCATCCCATGCAACAACAAGGGAGCTCACTCAGTGGGTTTGATGTGGTGGATGCTGGCTCGGGAAGTTCTGCGCATGCGTGGCACCATTTCCCGTGAACACCCGTGGGAGGTCATGCCTGATCTCTACTTCTACAGAGATCCTAAAGAGATTGAAAAAGAAGAGCAGGCTGCTGCTGAAAAGGCAGTGACCAAGGAGGAATTTCAGGGTGAATGGACTGCTCCAGCTCCTGAGTTCACTGCTACTCAGCCTGAGGTTGCAGACTGGTCTGAAGGTGTGCAGGTGCCCTCTGTGCCTATTCAGCAGTTCCCTACTGAAGACTGGAGTGCTCAGTCTGCCACGGAAGACTGGTCTGCAGCTCCCACTGCTCAGGCCACTGAATGGGTAGGAGCAACCACTGAATGGTCTTAAGCTGTTCTTGCACGGGCTCTTAAGCAACATGGAAAAATGGTTGATAAAAAAAAAAAAAAAAAAGAAAATTACTGAAGAGTTTTCAAGAGAGAATGAGTTTCAGATATGTGATTCCCTACACCCTGGCAAAATGTGAAGGGGTATACATAGGGTCTACTTCCCCAAATCCAGTCATAAGTAGAGAGAACATGGAGATGATTTGTTTTGGTGTCTGGGAATAGGATCTAGCATTTGAGATGATCACTGGCTTAATGAGATGCTGTAGATGTTTGGTGTTATATTCAGATCACAGAAAGCGAATCTTTAACTATACTCACCCTCAGGGAGAATACATCTGCATTAGTTGGTTCACTGCATAGGATATTTTTTGAGAGGGACAATGTTGAGTTACGGCTGGCCCATAAATGAGGAACCAAAAAGATGGAGGGTAGACATGACATCATTAAAGTAAAAGAAATTGAGATAATTAGATGAACATGAAGAATAAAAGAGTTACCATGTATTCACACTGGGGCCACCTAGGTGAAGAGTTGACACATGAAAGGGTGGTGGAATGCATGTCCCATTGTACCAAAAGGAAAGGACACTCATTACAAGGAAGTCATCTTGTTTCTGTGTTACAGGGGGACAGGCTTCCTTAGCAAGTTAGCAAGTGAAACTGCCACATAAAATAGTGAGTTTTTTTGCCCTCTAAGCAGGAGGCAAATAATCATTTGTATTGCATTTATAGTAATAAGGAGGAGACTAAATCAACATTTCACAAACATTATTATACATGTGAACAATTGAGGATTTGGGTTAAATGCAGATTCTTTTTCAGAAGATCTGGGGTGAAACTTGTGATTCTTCAGTTCTGACATATTCCTAGGCAATGCTGATACTGCTGCTCAGTGGTTCGTACTCTGAGTAATGATGCCCCAGATAATAGGGAAATGTTGTAGTATGTCATAATTGTTAGGAACATAAATTTCAAAACCAGAAAGCCCCGATATGAGTTTCTATCAGATGTAACTTTGGGAAAGGTGCTTGCCTTTCTGAGCTTTAATTTCCTCATCTATAAAATAGGAATTGCTATTGCCTCTTTCATATTGTCTTGGACCAGATTAATGAGAATATGTTTGTATGTAGAACATTTGATGTCATGCTTAGCACATAATAAGCTCCTCAATAATGTTAGTGGTTATATTTTAGATTTAACAATATAGTACCTTTCACTTCTATGATTATATTATTCTGATTTATTTCCAAATGTATCAGAACAATAAGAAGACAAAAACTCCCCATGAAAGTTAATTAAAGTGAATTTCACTGTTCTGATCATATAATGTTTAATAAAACTACAGCCAAGATCAGCCCAGTGCAAAATTATTTTTCTGATGAGTAACTATACCTATTTGAAGGTTCAACTGAAATATCACCTATTTTTCTATTTTATACCTTCTTGATAACAGCCAGGGGATTATCACTCAGCTTTTTGGCCCGTCTGGTGTACCTGCTGCAGGCGTATCTTGCAGCATTCCTCATAGAACTATGCAAACAACTGCCTGCGAGCAAGTACGTCTCCTCCTCTGAACTGGAAATGCATTACATTTATGTACTAAGTCTTACACACATCGTGTCCCTACATCTATATCTAACATGAAGTATGGTCAATAATGGGTCTCTAGTATAATGGATGAGCAAAAAACATAGATGAATAACTTAATGGATTAATGACATGAGAAAAGTCAGTTGTTGGTGCTCATATTTTCCTTTCAAAAACTTCCTGCCCTGTCATGACATTTTCTGCCTCATTGGGATGGGGTTTTGCCCCAAGATACTGTGATGATAGCTGCCTTTAAGATGTTTTTAACAAAAAATATAATACTTGTCTTCTCTTTGAGGAAATTGTATTTCAACCAGGGTTATTAGGCGATATGTAGATATGTAAAGATATATCATTAGATAAAAAACAAACTAGACACTGAGATATGATACGGATATTTGAAGGGAATTATAGGTTATTTCAAATTCTTTTCAAATGGTAAATATTCAACTCTGTCCTTAAGGTCAGTTTTGCATCATTTCAAGAGTAAAAATTAGGAATAAGGAAATTGCTCTGTTTGTGCTTTTGCTCTCACTTTATGGAGAGGTAATTCCTTTTTTGGCACCAATGAGAGACACTCCATCCACTCAGCCAAGAGCATCATGCAGAATACGTATCATTTGAGGAAATTCAAATGGCTAAGAAGTTAAGACCTCTAGATTCTAAAGAATCTTACAGATCATCCTGTCTGTTCTTCTGTTTCTAGAGATAAGAGCTATGTTGAAATGCAGGGCAGCCCCATGTTTATATCATCTTTGTGGACTAAACTTAAATTAATTTATTTACAACTCTTTTTTTTTTTTTCTGCAAATTCTTTCAAATAGTACAAAGGAAAGCGAGGCCAGGCATGGTGCGACCCTAACCCTGCTGACAATGGCTGCTACTAGAATTGCAAGTGGAGTAGATAGATAAAGCTCTGCAATTCCTCATGAAACAAACAAGAGTAGAAAAAATTATTGTTTATTTTGCAATATTGATAATTGTTATACTATTAATAATAGTAGCTGCTATTTATTTAGTGCTTGCAATATGTTAGACATTGTACTAATATCTAAGTGTATTATCTTTTTTTTTTTTTGAGATGGAATCTCACTCTGTTGCCAGGTTGGAGTGCCATCCTGGCTCACCGCAATCTCCACCTCCTGGGTTCAAGCAATTCCCCTGCCTCAGCCTCCCAAGTAGCTGAGACTACAGGTGCACATCACCATGCCCAGCTAATTTTTTTGTATTTTAGTAGAGATGGGGTTTCACCATGTTGGCCAGGATGGCTTCGATCTCCTGACCTCGGGATCTGCCCGCCTCGGCCTCCCAAAGTGCTTGAATTCCAGGCAAGAAACACTGTGCCCAGCCTTCAGTTTGTTTTCAATCTCCATGAAACATCTGAGAAGGAGGTGCTATTATCCAATTTTAGACAATAGTAAAGTTATCTTAGAGGTTAAATAATGTAGACAATATCGTATCTCTGTACATGCAAAGTCATGTTCTCCACCACAGAGTTCTATGCCTTGCTACCCACAGAAGCATAGTAATTTCCATTTCAAAAACGGCACCATTGCTCGTCCAAAATCTTTAAGATTGTAGAAAGATACACAAGAGATGGACTTTCCAGATAGAATGTTTTTCTTTTTGGAACATAAAGATTAAAAGCAATAGTGTTTTTAAAAGCTTCTTAAGCAAATGCCTTGGAGGTACAATAAGCACACTTCCTTGCATGTCCCTCTGAAGCTGCTCATGGAGTTTCACTCTCTATATTGGCCACTAAAATCTTTAAATAGCCCTATCTGTGCTTTGTGGCTTTCATTGCAATGTTCCTCCTAGCATCTGTAGTTAGAGGCTATGGGAAACATGTGGCTGGATATAAAGTTAACCCCGGCATGAGGTACTCAGAGTCAGCAGAGACCAGTATTAGGGCATGCAATAGTCATCTCTTCTGCAGGCTGGCTTAAGAGCTTTAGGTTTTCCCCTATCCTTGAATTGAGGAATTTCCAACTTGTAAATTTCTCTTTTTGTTTTTTATGTTCAGTAAAGCTGAACCCACCTAGAGGGTCTGGCAGACCCATTGCTCAAGTCTATAACTGAAATTGGATGGCCTGACTTCATATTCAATTGGAACATTTTTCTTCTTATTTCTCTTTTTAAAAATCAATAAATGCTTTATGATGCCTCTCAAAGAAATTGAATGAGTGGGAAGCAGGCTTTTCCATAGTATTACGCCAACTAAACACTCTGGAATAGATCCAATTTCAAATATCCTATCTTGTCGCCCATTTGTATATTAGGTCAATATTTGCTGACTTTTTATTAGAGAGATACACTTTCCTCAGAGAGCAGAAAAGGAAAGGAAGCCTTTTTGATCATCAACATTTTTGGCAAGAAATTAGACTTGGAGACACACACCCCCACACATACACACACGCACACACACACGCACACAGATACACGCACATACACACATAAGGATATACTTGTGTACATATGTATACATAAGTGAATAAGTGTGTGTGTGTTTTGTCCTTATCATGCTCCCATTATAACAGTGGAAAAATTGAAACCTACAAATTTCTCTTAGCTATACTGCTTTTGAGTAGCTGACATAGAGTTCCAACCTGATAGTCTGTCTTAAAAGCCTGTGGTCATTTTTCTCAATCTTCCTATATCCTCAAACTTATTTTTTAAGGGTAAATTTTTCCATCTTCATCCAAAACTATTTCTACTGAGAACATGCCCCAGGCTCCTGGTCATCTGGCTTCAGATGCCAGGTAAAGGGGTAAGTTGCCCTGTCCTGAGCCTTCTATCTATTCTACCCAGCTTCCTGCCTGTCCTGTCTTTTCCTAACTCCTTAATTCTTGCTCCTGGGAGATGTGAATCAAACACCACATACCTGAACTGGTGCCTGCCTGAAGAGCCATGATTGATTGCCATGTACTAATTGCTTGGAAGGATTGGGAGTGGGTACAAGAATAAAGATGATCACAGAACAGTTAAAAAGAGATTTGTTTCTCTTTTTGCTGCTCCCCTGTCATTTGCAAATGTCTGTTGGTTTTCTTTCAGCATATTTGTGATTAAGAATCCTGCTGAGATGACACTTGGTGGTTCGAAAAGCCAAGTGTTTCTGCATTTCCGCAGGTAATTTAGCAATGCATCCATGGGAAGCCCACCCACACATTACAAGAGCAAGGCTCCCCGTAACCTTTTAAAAAGTCTGTAACAATTGACATAAAAATACCAAAGTGAAATTTTCTAGTGAGAACATAATTGGTGAAATATTAAGATTTTCATTAATAAACCCTTTGACTATCAGCTTTTCACTTTATCTTGCTGCTTCTCTTAAACACATGCAACACCACCATTCTGATGATAGCTAACAACCAAAAAAGTAAACATAGCTTTTAGGTAATTTATGTGGCAGAGACGCCCATCAGGTATCATTACTGGAATCTTTCTATGTATGAGTCAGGGCCAGGGGAGCGTTGAAATTAAATCTTTGTAAGGAAAATAACCTACACAGGTTTGCAAGATTCAAAATTATAAGAGTGACCCCTAGTGACTATGAAACTGCTTAAATCTTCCCTGAGTTTCTGTATAGTGTTCAATGTGAACATCTGAAGAAAGAGAATATCCTTTTTTAAAGCACAAAAAAATTATTCATTTTGAATTTAGTAGTTATGTTTTGAAAATAGTAGGAATGGACTATCCCTCAAAATATTGTTTTTGTTTTGTTTTGTTTTGTTTTCCCCAATAAAATACATATGTGTCTTACTATTCCTCCTTTGGTTTACATCAAAGAGCCTGCATCGTGAACCTACTGTGTGCAAAGTGCCTGGAAGCCCTTGAGGATGGGAAGATTAAGGCCTCCTCGTGGTTTCTCTGGTGCCAGCAGACTCCGGAGGAAAGAGACAAGCAAACAGGAGCCTTGCAGGAGGGGTGAGGGGTAAGTGAGACAACAGAGTGTAATAATAGGGGCTCTAAGAACAGAATCATTTTTATAATGGTTGTGTGGCCATTCCTACATAGAACAGATCAGAGTAAGAGTTTACCCAATGGGAGGTGAGAGGGAACAGTTCTACCTAGGCACAAATAAATGAAACAACATATTTTTGTGTAAGAATCACAAGTAGGCTGGGTGCCGTGGCTCATGCCTGTAATTCCAGCACTTTAGGAGGTCAAGGCAGGCGGATCTTGAGGTCAGAAGTTTGAGACCAGCCTGGCCAACATGGTGAAACCCTGTCTCTACTAAAAATACAAAAATTAGCTGGGCGTGGTGGCAGGCGCCTGTAGTCCCAGCTACTTGGGAGTCTGAGACAGGAGAATGGCTCGATCCTAGGAGGTGGAGGTTGCAGTGAGCTGAGATCGTGCCATTGCACTCCAGCCTGGGAGACAGAGCAAGACTCTCTCTCAAAAACAACAACAACAACAACAACAGCAACAAAGAATCACAAGTATTTCAGCAGGGATACAGAGTTGAGCTATCAAGATGTACAAGATGGGGCTTGAGACATAAGCATGAGATGGCTCAGAACAGTCTTGGTACACTGCTGTTGGCCATTCCACTGAAGACAATAGGACTAGGCTTAAGCAAGAAACGAAGGTGCACTGATTAGCATTTTGGAAGAATTGTCTGGCTTGTGGGCAGAAGGTAGTCTCAGAGCAACCAAAACTAGTTGTGGAGAGATCGCATAGGAGGGCTCCAGCATTTTCACTGTTGGAAATGTAAGACTTCTCTTTCTTCAGCTAGATGGTAGATATCTGGGCCTGGTGCTTTATACTTCATTCAAATTTGTATTATCAGTAGACATAATTGAATAAAAATAAAATTATCAGTAGACATATTGAATAAAAATTAGCATTAATTTTACTCTGAGTTAAATTACAATGCCATATCTAGGTATGCATGTATAAATGTGTTATATATACATATTTATATATGAATATAAATTATAAACACACATATACTTTGATAATACATGTTAATGAAAAAGTATGTATTTTGGTTGTGTAGAAGTAGAAACATTAATTCAGATATTATAATTACATAAACCACATCATGTTTTATTTTAGAATCAAACCTTTTAAATCTTCATTACATAAAGACTTTCAGCCAGGCACCATGGTGTGCACTTATGGTTCCAGCTATTTGGGAAGAGGCTTGAGCCCAGGAGTTTGAAGCTGCAGTGTGCTATGATCATGCCTGTGAATAGCCACTGAACTCTAGCCTGAGCAGAACAGCAAGACCCTGCCTCAAATATATATATATATACATATATATATGTGTATATATATATTTTAAATGAACCAGAATGTACCGTATTATTGATATTAAATGAACCAGAATGTACCTGTATTATTGATATAATAAATCAAATATATACATTTATTATATATAAATATATTACATAAATGTATATTATGTATATTAATATATAAATATATATATTAAATAGATCAGAAAGTACCTGAAGAAGGTTTTGAAGCCCTAGTTTTTTCAGATATGATGTCAGAAATCCAAACATGGAACTATAAACCTTGTATTAATGATTGAATGCCCACCTTTCTGATACATCAAAACATTTACTTCAATATCTTACTACCTTAGTTTGCTAGGGCTACCATAAGCAAACGCCACACACTGAATGGCCTAAACAACAGAAATTTATTTTCTGACATTTCTGGAGGCTGGAAGTCCAAGATCAAAGTGTTGGCAGGTTTGGTTTTTCCTGAGGCCTCACTCCCCTGGCTTGCAGACGGCCACCTTCTTGCAGTGTCCCCACATAGCCTTTTCTCTGTGCTTCCCTGATACCGTTTCCTCTCCCTATAAGGATACCAGACATGTTAGATTAGGGTCTTAACTAACCTGTCCTCTGACCTCAACCTGCAAATATACAGTCACATTGGCAATTAGAGTTTTGACATGTGAATTTTGGGGCAACGCAATTCATTCCATAACTGCCATAAATTTCCCTGATGAGGAAATGATGATGAAGAGAACTCTTCTTCTAGAGTTATACTTTAAGGAAACATCTTGAGCACAATCAGAAACTAGACTTTTGGCAACAGGAAAAACAATAGCATTGGAAACTGTAGTGGATGCTGTGGTGTGTTACCCTATCATCCCCTTCAAAACTAGGGCATTCATTCCTCCAGCTGCTAGAAGTGTTGCCTGCTGAGTCATTTCAAGGCTAGGTTGCTTTCCAGAATTTCCCAAAGCCAAAATCAATTTCCTTGCTCAATGCTAGGTAGCAGTACAAATCCAAAGATGCACCAATATAGGCTTCCAAAGCCTAGCTCCTAAGCTTCTACATGAATGGGACAACTCAGAAGTGACATCCAAAGTCCAGACCTTCTTGTGTTGATGGCTAAATGCTTCATTGAGACTGCAGTGCAGCCCATCTTCTACCTCTGCCCAGTTCTGCTTTCCACCTTCTCTTCCACAGAGTAGAACAGAGAGCACTGAACACAAATCTGTATTATTATTCCCAAGAAATCTAATTATACATATGCCAAACATTGGAATGCTGAATGACACTAAAATAATCCATTTTAATGCCATCAATCTGCGGAACTAGAGGACATAATTTATATCCATATTGTTTTTAAATTATTGATTATTCCTTACTAAATTTGTTTGGTATTACATTGCACCACGATATAAGCACCATGGAGACAGGAATCTTATGAAATGACTTCTTAGAAGCATTCATAGCATCAAATAATATACCTGAAATATTGGGCATACCAATAAAGTATTTAAAATTATAGCTTATTGCATCTTCTCTAGAAAGCAGATAAATATCTTGGTATAGTTTTGCATGTACAATTATTTCCTATCCATCAAAGACTGGGTCAAAAGCTACTCCTTCATGATGTTTGCATTGATTTATCCCAGGTAAAAGAATCAATCCTCACTGAGTTTTCTGCTCCTTTGCAATGTCTGTTACTTCCTGCCACTACCTTAGTTTGCTAGGGCTACCATAAGCAAACGCCACACACTGAATGGCCTAAACAACAGAAATTTATTTTCTGACATTTCTGGAGGCTGGAAGTCCAAGATCAAAGTGTTGGCAGGTTTGGTTTTTCCTGAGGCCTCACTCCCCTGGCTTGCAGACGGCCACCTTCTTGCAGTGTCCCCACATAGCCTTTTCTCTGTGCTTCCCTGATACCGTTTCCTCTCCCTATAAGGATACCAGACATGTTAGATTAGGGTCTTAACTAACCTGTCCTCTGACCTCAACCTGCAAATATACAGTCACATTGGCAATTAGAGTTTTGACATGTGAATTTTGGGGCAACCTGGTGCTTTATACTTCATTCAAATTTGTATTATCAGTAGACATAATATGTTTTGAAAAATGCATATTGAATAAAAATTAGCATTAATTTTACTCTGAGTTAAATTACAATGCCATATCTAGGTATGCATGTATAAATGTGTTATATATACTGTCCTGTCTTTTCCTAACTCCTTAATTCTTGCTCCTGGGAGATGTGAATCAAACACCACATACCTGAACTGGTGCCTGCCTGAAGAGCCATGA